GAAGCTTCTGCTTGCTCATCTTGTGTCTCCCATTAACCTGGGCAAAATCAGCCTGGATCCTGGCAAGGAGAGCCCTATGGGCCCACCTTTGGTGAATCAATGCAAGTTACACTGCTGTACAAAGATGAGGTACGCCACGGTGCCACACAGAATGCAGAGTCTTCTGTTCCCTGTGAGGACCTGGGTGAACAGCACCTCCTCTCTGATCCTTGGGTCTCCCATCTTTGATGTGAATAATACCCAAACTGTAGAGAATGAACTTAGGTGACATCTCTGAAGCCTCTAGCACAATCCCTGGCCCATGGTGGATGCTTAAAGGGCAGTTGAGGGGTATGGCATCTCTCACCTTCCCCAATCCAGGCCTCTTCTCCCTTCTGCTGCTCTGCTGTAGGTCAAGAGAACATCCTAGGATCCAAAGGAACCCCTTCCCACCTTTATCCAAGTCCCCAGAGCCTGGTTAAATGAGTGATTGGTGTGGCTGTGAAAAAATTAGTTCCCACAGGTATTATTCATGAGAAGTAATAGGTTCTTTATTCCCAGGGCCACCTGCACTTACAAGAAGTTTGGAAATGGTTCTGTTCACTAGGTGGCAAGCGGGTGAAGTAATTGCTTCATAAATGACAATAGGTAATGATCAGACCAGACAACACAAGCATTCAAATTCACAACTGTTTGACACTGTGTTGGCCAAAGCATTTGGCTCTGGGGCCTCCGTTTGCCACCAGTAAAACAAGGTTGGCAGGAATGACAGGGTTCCAGGCCGGGGATGGAGCAGGAGTGGGAAGCCCCGACACCTAGCCCCTTCAGATCATTCTAGGTCACTGTAATTCTCCTAAACCCTCCCTGTTCTCCACAAAAGGAGCTCGAGTCATCCCATAGGGGACAGTGCCCCTCACACTGCTGGGTGGGCCTGCCACCTCAGTAGCCTCCTCTCTAAGGCACAAGCTAAGCCCGATATCCTGTCCGTTCTGTATTTAGTAAGGGTTGGTGCTTAAATGACAGCAGATGATATCAGAGCAGTGTGACAGTAACCATCGTAAACTGAGAGAAAGGAAGGAGAAAAGGACAAAAGCACCCAGCACCATCAAGACCTGTGCTGTCACTCTGAAGCCTTGCCTGCCTCGAGCTGGGGAGGAGCTGGGCTGTGCACAGGGCAGAGGATGAGATGAAGCTGATCACAGAACCCCCCAGAGGGGCCCAGGAGTCCCTGCCCCTCTTGGCAGAGTGCTCATGATGGGAGCTGGCTTGGAAAGAGGCAGGCCGGATGCAAATCCCAGCTCCCAGACTAGACTTGACCCCTGCATCTTCCTCAAACTCTCCGAGCCAGTTTCCTCATCTGGAACATTGGAGTGATGTCAACTCTTTTGAGTGTGCCTGTAGGACACTCAACAGGCAGTGTCACTCAGCACATAGTACCTCTGATTTCTGCCCACACCAAAGCTGCCCTCCACCAAGCCACCCTGGAAGGGGCATCTGGACATACGCAGCACTGCAGGGTCAGATCACTAAGCCTTTACCTTTGAATACAAACATGAGGTGTGGTCTCCCAGGGAAGAAAACCAGAGAGTGTGAATGCTTCAATATGCTGGCTTAAGGGTTAGAGGGTTGGAACGGTTTGAAGGGTTTGAAGAGTTGGAATGGTCATCTGACTAATGGGCTCAATGAGCCATCATGCCAATGGTGTCTCACCCTTACCAGCATGCGCTGCTCTATTCACTTAACCTTCACCCCTCAGGTCGTGTGTTCATGACAGCCCAGTACGTGGGGATTGCTATCACCTGCCCTGGACAGGTGGGGATCATAGGCACAGGGCTAGGTAAATTCAGACCTGGGGATTGGCCAGATGGGCTTCTTGGGATGTTCTCGAGCCCAGTGTGGAGGGAGGGCTATGTGAAGAGGGTGTCTAGACCAGGCAGCTGCACCAGGAACCAGAGCCAGGAATTGCATGTTCATGCCCATGAATGACTATGTGCCTAGTCATTTCAGCTTCTGACACTCTTTTATTCTCTGTATGTGTGGGGATAGGTGGAGATAAAAGGGCTGCTCAGGTGTGATCTGGCAGGAATTCAGGGAGAAGCCTGAGCTTCTCCTTCCCCCGGGGTGCAGGTGCACCAGAAAGTAGGCCTGGGCCCTCACTCCCATCCACCTGAGTCACCACAGTGCCACATCCTTCCAGGTTGACCTGCCTCGGGGCTTCCAGAAGGCAGGAGAGGGCAGAAATAAGTCCTCTAGAGCTAAGCCAGCCTGGGCAATTTCCCCAGGAAATATTCTTGACAGTGTACATGTTTCCAACCAGCTTCTTGAAAAGGGCCACTACCCCTCATTACATTCTCTGGATAAGCTGGAATTGTCTCT